TTCGTATAAAATGTATTATTTTGTGGCTTATAATAGACAATATAATATAATATAGAAATAGAATATAGAAAATAGAAAATAAACACTCATCATTTTAGTCGTGTGTCAATGTCTCTTTGGACCAGCCGTGTTCTGTATCAGGCTTTTCCATGCATGTGCTCTTCTGGGATCATCTCGATGCAACATCCAGCAATAGTACTCCATCATTGTAGTATTCTAACTACCTTAGTAACACTTTTCCATTTATTTGATGTCCTGATGAAATCTATACCCATCTCTTCACTAACCACACCCAGATTTTCAGGAAAGTAGTCTAAATGTGCATGTAAGAAATGAACCTTCAAACTCATGGAACAGCCTAAATTTTGGTACTTCTGCAGCATTGTCTCAATGATAGACTTGAAATTAGGATCCTTCTTGTTGCCCAGAAAATTGGTTACTATGTCTTTAAAGGCGACCCAGGCTTCTTTTTCAGCAACTTTCATTTCTTTTTCAAAATTTCCATCTTTGCAAAGTTTTCTAATGTCCAGACCAGTAAAGATACCCTCTTTTAGTTTTGTGGTTGACAAGGCTGGAAATTTGCTACAAATGTACTGGAAACATTTACCATCTTTTGGTAAGGTTTTCACAAATTGCTTCATCAAGCCTAATTTGATGTTTAGGGGTGGAAGAACTTTCGTTGACTCGATGAGTGGTTTTTGGAGCACATTTTTTACTCCAGGTTCCAATGAAAGTCGTCGTGGCCGTTCTTTCTATTTCCAATGTTTTTTTTTGTCTCTGCTATCCCACTCACATAAAAAACAAGGAAACTTTGTGTATCCACCTTGCTGTCCAAGGATCATCGATATTACTTTGAGACCACCACACATGATCCACTTATGATTGTCGTACTTAATTTTCTGGGGAACAAATTGTAAATTGCCGTACTGTTCTTTTAAGTATACAGAATGCCCTGTGGGTATTGATGGATACCTGTTTCCTTTGTGAAGCAGGACAACTTTAAGGTTTCATTTCGACGAATCGATGAATAGTAAAGGACGAAAGTACTGCTATCTGCCGGTTTATGATGTGAATGACTTGTTTTCATTGTAAACTGACAGGTGCCAGCATTTCTGACGTATTTAAATCTGGCAGTATGTCTTATATTTTTGATTTTTTTCGATATATGACACTTTTGACACATTGCGATTAGAAAAAATTCCAGTGTGATGGAGAAAAACTAAGGTCATTTTTGAATTCAGCACACAAAAATACATAGGAGTTCACCACCAAAACTTGAAAAACATGATACAATTGAAAAAATGAATGCCTGTGTTATTAATAGTATACTATATAGTATTAGAAAGTAACACTTTTATTAATTAACATTATTGAATTTTTGAATTGAATTTAATTTTGAAAAAGTTGCTAAGGTTTTTAGATCTTAGTCTCTATAATATACAGTAGAACCTCGATTATCCGCCCTAATTGGGGACTGGGGTTGGTCGGATAATTGAAAAGTCGGATAACCGAAAAGTATGAAAAAATCCATTATTAGTGTAGTATATTATTATATCCCATGTAATTAGTATATTAGTATATCGCTATTAACCTATTTTGCGTTGAATTTTCATCGATGTTAAGCCTAACAAAAATTTTTTAAAATAATAANATGACTTGGGCACATAACAGATTTTGTTTATGCTTTGAGCACATTTTTTCATTATACATCATAAAGTTTGAACTTCAAAGCATTGTATAAACTTGAAGGCAAATTTTGAATTTAGTGTTCAAATGCTGAATTAGTTGATGAAGCTAATATCAGTCGACTGTATATATTTTCAAGAAAAATTTGTGATTTATGTGTATATATATAATGTTTTCATTATTTTTTAAATTATTATTTATCTGTTCTTATAGCAACTTTTAAATTTAACTTTTTTACAGAAACAAGAAGTTGATATATTAAAATTGATATGCTGTTTAATTAAAATACTTATTAACATTTCTTCTATTACTTATCATAAAAATTATATTTTTTACAAATGTAAATAATTCAGCTTGAGACAAAGATATAGATTTTGAATGAATGAATTTGTATTAATTTTGTTAAGGAATTAGGATGGAAATTGACATGCCCTCAAATTTGATCTGTTGTTTAACTGCAAATTTACAGACTGGACTAGAAAGATGTTTTTATTGCAATTGTTGGTCTTGATCTTAAATCAAATTTCTATTTATTTTTCAAAAAACCTACAAAAGTTTTGCAAATTTTATTCACTGAAGGCTTTTCTTGAATCTATCAAGTTGTTTGAGAAGTAAGAAGCGTTCATTGAATATTTTATTAAATGTTTTGTTACCAGATTTAAAAGTTCTGTAATGGTTGTCATTAGTACCGTTAATTGAGTTAGAAGATATCTTTATAACACACATTTTCTTTGTATTCTTTTATTAATGTTTTGATTTCAATCTTATGTTCAACTGTTTTCTATGAATTGTAATCTATTTTAGTATTGCTTTTGTATTTGTTTTCTAAAATTGTATTTGAAATAAGTCAAATTTTATAAATGTAATAATGGATCATAATAATAATAATAATGTGAAAAAAAGTTATAAATTTTTTATTGTCTTCAGGTACATACATTTATTATTCATTATATATACAAATTATACTTTTCTTTCAAAATTTTATTTGCATATTGCAAAATTTTATTACTACAGTGGTGCCACATACTTCAGATTTCATTCATTCCAGGAGGCTGTTTGAACTCTGAATTGTTAGAAGTCTGAATAAATGTTTTCCTGTTAGAAATAATGGAAAGTGAATTAATTCAAACCCTAAACAATACCACTTTTGGTAAATCTAAAACACCAAATACACATAATTTAAGGTAAAAATAACAAAATTATTACAAATGTTGCTTCTAGCACTTGGTATAATTATATTATAATTTTGTTTCCATACTTATGTAGTAAAATTTTGTGTTTATTAAATTGTTTTCACTTTGATTCCAAAGCATTTGTGCTCATCAATTGTCTGAGAAGCCCTCACTATTATCTGCCTCATGGTTGTTGATCATTTATTTAATGTAAAAATAACAGTTAAATGTCCCAAGGAATAAATTAAAATATGAAAACAAGTAAAACGGCAAAACCGTATTTGGGACAAGACTATGTCTTGGAGACGGAATCACTTTGATGCTCAAGGCAGGTCTCATTCTCCTATCTTCTTTGATATCTCTGCTTTTGGGTGCAATTGTTCAAACTTTGCCAGCCATGACCACGAGATCGTCCACGATGCATCTTCGATGAAATTAACCTATCTAATTTCAAAATTTCTCTCCATTGCATGTCAGCCAGGGTTGAATTTTTGTCAATGCATAACGAAAAGTTCCCATTTTTGAAAAAAATAATTGTGGCTATTGTATCATCTGAAATTATTTTTTTATTTTGCACAAATAATATACAGTTTAACCTGATTATAATGTCATCGAATGTAATGTCAATCCTAATATAACGTCAAATTTTTATCGGTCCTACGATTTTACTATACTAGATAATGTTAAAAAAAATCCCATTTGTAACAACATAAAACCATTTTAATGTCATTTTAACGTCATTTAACGTCATAAAACCATTTTAACGTTATATTTGAAGCACTCCCAAATTTACAAAATTAGATTACAAATTTTATTTAACATAGAAGAAACTACATGTTCAGTCCTAAGGTCAGAGTTCACTTATAATGTCTGTGGGTGGTACTCTCTCCTACCCGACTTTGGTGGGGTGAGGTGACTGTTTTGCCTGATTATACAAGAAGGTCACCACATATTTTATTTTGACTCGATTCTCGGTCCTCCGACTCCCTACGAGTCTGGATTTTTTATGCATAAATGATTTGGGCACCTAATAATCTTTGCCAAATATCAACTCTCGACATGTACTCCTTCATACCTCTATGCTGGTAAGAACATTAGGTGGTACGATTTTATAAACAAGACAGTCTTGTCAATAATAAGTAAAATACACAAAATTTTATAATATAATGAAAATTTCATTTACTGGTTGCACATTGACTGTGGCATCTTAAACATTACCACCAGATCTGCCACACATGTACCACTTTTATGCTTTCTGATAAGTTTTTTCACCTTGATGATTAAAACTACAACCTTCCTTTTAGCCTTTATTGCTTCCACATACTTCTTGGATGTCATGGTTAATAAGTAAAAGTTATGTTGGAATGAACAAATGTTTGCATATTTTTAACAGCTAAAGTTATCTGACATAGATGTGTGATTCAATTATAAAAGTTGTGAAATTTAACATATTTATTGTTAATGTGAGATCATATTCTTAGTTCAGAAGATTATTTTAAACTTTTTACTTCACATTTTGTTTGAATAAAATAGAAAAATATCTTCAGATAAAAAGCATATTGGGAATATTATGCTTTTTGTTTGGAAGGATACAATGCTATACAAACAGTAAAAAAACAAAAACTGCAGGGTGTATGGGAAAGATGCTGCTAAACTTTGAACATGTCAAAAGTGGTTTCAAAAGTTCTATTTTTGAACTAAAAGATACAAAAATGTATGGAATGCCCAAAAGCAGTTGTTGAAGAAAAAATTCAAGAAGAAATTGCTAAAAATTAATGAATAATGCACAAAGTATATATATATATATACATATACATATAGCTAAACACCAAAAAAACAGTGAAAAAAATCAATGAAAAGATATGAATGTAATATGAGAGTGAGAGATGACTTGGGCACATAACAGATTTTGTTTATGCTTTGAGCACATTTTTTCATTATACATCATAAAGTTTGAACTTCAAAGCATTGTATAAACTTGAAGGCAAATTTTGAATTTAGTGTTCAAATGCTGAATTAGTTGATGAAGCTAATATCAGTCGACTGTATATATTTTCAAGAAAAATTTGTGATTTATGTGTATATATATAATGTTTTCATTATTTTTTAAATTATTATTTATCTGTTCTTATAGCAACTTTTAAATTTAACTTTTTTACAGAAACAAGAAGTTGTGTGGGATCAAGAACTGTATGATCAGTTTGAATATAAAACACCAAAGTCATTCTTTCATACATTTGAAGCAGATGTAAGATTTTAATTTTTACCTATATTTGAGCATTCACAGGCCAAATTGATTAACTCTATTTGTAAATCCTTAATATAATCATTATTATTTTCAAATTTTTCACATAACTAATTTTATATTGTTATATTAAAGCATAGCTTTAATATAACAATATAACAGTATATAATAATACATTCTGCAATGTTCATTTAAATTTAAAGTTTAAAAGGAATTTTTAAAAATAATTTATATTCTCAATTTTTATACTTTTTGTCTTGTGGAGTTAATCAATTTGGCAAGTGAGCAGCTCATTTATTATTAACAAGTTTTTTCTTTAATTGTAATCTTAGCAGTAATTGTTGATGTAAACTTTTAAAACTATATTAATTTAAGTAAATAAGTTTTTTAAAATAATTATATTATATAGTTAAGACTAATTTGGAATTTTCATTCTGCACTGTCTCCAAATGCAACAATATTCCTTTTAAAATGTATACAGTGGAACTTTGCTTAACAAGTACCTCGCATAACAAATATTTTGCATAACAAGCAAAACAAATTGTAAAAAAATGACTCACTTAACAAGTAATGTTTTGCATAACAAGTTACAAGGAGAGGGGAAGTCCTGGATTGTGTGCATGCTCCATCAGTCTGTGTTTAGTACTCGTTCTGCAAGCATCTTAGTGTCGCTCATGCTCACACATTTTTCCAAACTTGGGTTCACACATATGTATAAACATCAACAACCATAGCCCATTATATAATAAACACACTAAACAATATGCCAAACTCTTAGGCTATGTAAAGGATATAATTAAATATTAGAAACTAATTAATTTCACTAGAGGTCGGCAGTTATGCTGCCATCTTGTACTAAATTTAATGACCAATTCCAAATTAAATTTTAGAAATGTCTAAATTAAAAATTAATTATTTATAATTATTAAATTTAATACAAGATGACAGCATAACAGTCTACTTCTAGTCAAATTAATTAATTTCTAATATTTAATTATATCCTTTACATAGCCCAATAATTTCACATATCCTTTTGCATCTTTATCAGACATATTATTTGTGATTTTTTTTTCTTTTCTTTCTTTCTTTGTAAATTGAATTCTTATTTCAGGTTGGTTCATTCCATGCTAGAAGAAAAGATAATGATGATTCATGCTTTTTAACAATGTATATTGTATAATTTTCTTTGAATAAACATTATATATAAAATATTTGATTATTTTTTTCAGCATGGAACACACTATTGTATTTTACATTAATTTATATGAGAGAAACAGTTTTGCTTAACAAGTATTTTGCATTGCAAGTAAAATTCTGGAATGAATTATGTTTATTAAGTGAGGTCCCACTGTATAACAAATTTTCTTAATTTTTGCTTATAATCAGATTTTTATATTTTTCTAAACTGCAACAATAACTGTCTGCAGTTTATTAATTAAGTAATCTAATTCAATAAAATGACCAATTTCATATTAGTTTTCTTCCTGAACTAGAGTTTTTAAAAAAGCAAAATCACAAAACTAAATGCTTTCAAACTCCTGTTTGAACAATTTTCTTATTTGGAACACATCTGCCAGAGTTTAAACTTGAATGTTATTCTAGAATAAGAAGATATTGCATACAAATCAATATCAAAAAATTACACTATCATTTACAATCTGTCAACTGCATTATGAAACAACCTTCCAAATAGTGGTTGTTTCTTAATGCAGTAAACAAGTTTGACACTTCATTCTGATGATATTATTGTAGGTACAGATTTGAAATTTGTTTTGAAATATGCAGTAATGTGCATAACACTTCAAGTTTTGTCAGTACATAGAATTATGAATTTCCTATCATTAGTCAACAAGAACTTCTTGAACAATGGCAGGAAGTTCATAATTCTCTATTGGGCATTGACTTTGAAGCTCCAGATGCCGAAATGCAGTGATTAGGTTAGGATCATGCCAGCTATTTTATAGACCTACCATGCACCATTGGTTGAAAAAAGGAATTTTCCTCTTCAAGCCAGTTCAACATATCAACACAAAATATAAGTCATGCTTGCTTGTCACATGATGTATCTATTGCAACAGTTGAAACTTTTATAGTTTTAAAGCCAGTCTCTTGTTCAACACTGTTGTTATGAGAGAGAATATCAACTGGAAAATAATCAAACAGAATCCTACACCAACCTTTTCCTTTCCAGCAGTAATTTGAAGATTTGACAAATGTGTTCAAGCTGCTTTACAGTTCTGTTTCAGATCTGTTGGTCCATTAACTTGTTTTTGGTGAAAATTCATTTAGGAGGATTTTTAAATTTGGAATTTTACGAAAACAAATATTTTAAGTATTGTTCTATTTTATATTTAATAATTAACCTTTTTGTCTCTAACTTTGGAAAATGCATCTTCCCTGTTTTCATAAGGGGTTGCCATGTTGATGATGGTAGCTGACTTCGTCTCTTCATTTGTTATCATGAAGTCTGGGCATACAAAATTTAGTAACAATCAACAACAAATTTTTCAAAGAAAAATCATTAAGAATCAACCTGACAAAAACTCAAATCACTCTATTTGCTATCTATACCTCCTTGGAACTCGACAAAAAGTTCAAAGACTTAACTTATGTACAACAGTTCTTATGAATTAAGATCCTAATTGTCACTTCAATATACTAGGAACCTTTTACCTCAATTCTCAAGACTTTCTAATCTTTGATCCACAAATCGAATAACTTCAAATCGCCTTGGAACCACTTTATTGCTATCGGACACCTCTTGTCGTTTGCTGCTACGAAGCTCACCACGCTTGTTGCTAACAGAAGCTCACCTCAGTCATCTTCACTTGAGATTCGGACTTTATACTATGAGGTGATGTCACAATTCTGATTGAGATCACTCCCCTCATTTACATACTTATCACTATCAGTAAACATTTCCTTCCTGCCTGGCAGCCTATTTCCCGACAATTCTCGCTAGCCTTTTACATTATTCTTTTTTACAATTTTTCAGGATGTTTTATTCTATAAGGTTTAGCAAGTTCCTAAGTTGTGCTTGTGGGGTCTCCCCTCCCTTCTTTCTCAGTGCAGACTTACTTTTTCCACTCAGGAGCGCAAGTGTGTGCGAGTTTTTTCTATGGCGCTTTTTTTTTTTTTTTTTTTGTCGTTGAGTTGGTTCTTTTTCTTCTAACTTTAAGTTTCTAAGGTGAATGGTGAGGAAACCTTCATCCTAACAAAACTAAGCCACAAACAAAATGGAATAAAAAGCAAAATAAAAATAACTAAAAATAACACTCGTACTTTGTTCCTTACAACTGTAGCGTGTCTTGCTGGTAGTGTGTGCCTTACCGTTGATAGATAGGGAGGCACATTTCTTGAACCAGACACCTGCCCACTCTGCCCAAGCCGCAATTTGTTGAAGTTGTTCCGTTAGTCTTTGTTGAGTTTCACTGATGAGGGTGACATCGTCAGCTTATGCTGGGATGTTAAATTTGTTGCTATATATGTCGTATCCAGTGTCCAGCTTTGATGTCACCCTAATACCTACCTCCAATTCAATATTGAAGATGATTGGACTAATTGGGCACCCTTGACAGACACCTGAAAGAATGGGGATGGACTTGAGTTAGCCAGAGTTAGTCCTGATGCATGTAGAGCCACCAGTGTAAAGTGTGCTAATGGCTTTCACAGAGTTAGGATGAAGCCCTATCCATTTGAGGCCCTTCCACAGTATTTCATGTGGGATGGCCCCAAAGGCATTACAAAGGTCAAGCTGCACAATATGGTTCTCCTATGACGACAGGTGTCCTGAATGATTGTAAGATACAGTTATGATCCTGACACCCTTCGTAGTGCACAAATTCTTTCTGCAAGGGTGATAAGCAGCTATAAGTCTTGCACCATTTCAGCAGCCTGTTTGCCAGGCAAGCTGTATAAAGTTGCCTCATAGTGCAGGATAGTGAAATTGGATGCCAATTGTGGATTTTGTCTAGAGAACCTTTTTTGTGGGCCAAGATGGTGGTGGTCATCTGCCAGGCATGGGAATGTGTGCCATGCATTTGACCACATTAAAGACGCCCATGAGGATGTGGCCACCGGGCTCCGGACGCTGCCAATGGCTATACCTCATGCCATCTGGGCCTGGAGCAGTGTTTTTGCCACGGTGAAGACAGTCTGCAACTTTTTCCAGCATGAAGAGAGGGTCCAGGGGTCATTGTCACTAAACTGGAGCCTGCTTGTTGATCAGTGGTGCTGGGTCAGAATTTGCTGGTGGTTCACCAAGAACTGAACTAAAATGAGCGTGAATTAAGTGTTCAGGGATGTTATAATACCTGGTACCTACTCCAGTAATTGCTGAAAATGCTTCTTTTTACTATGTTAGAGACAATGAAATATCAACAATGTACAGGTAGCCCTCGGTTTACGCCGCAGTTCTGTTCCTACAAAAGCTGGCGCAAATCGAGTCGGCGTAAAACTAACCCATATTTACAGTGAGGTATAGGGTTAGATTCTACATAAGTGAAAAATAAGCTAATAATTTTGTTTATTAATACAATATAATACAAAATATATAAATTTTTAATTTTTAAAATGTATTTTATCATAAAATAAAATAAAATGTTTTTATTTAAAAATTTTAGTTTCGAATTTCTTACATTTTTCAGAAAAAGTATCCCTCTTTGTTTACATTTTTGATTTCTTTCATTAAGAATTTCGGAATATGGTCGAATATGATGCTCCTTTTACATTTGCACTTCGCTCCCAATGTTGTCTAACTCACAAACTTCATCCGTCAAACTTTCCTTAGTTGAAAGGATATGTTAACTCGACGTAGAGCTATAGACGAGCGAAGACACTGATTGGTCGACCACCGGTCGTCGTAGCGCATATATAAGGTCAGTTTGAGCGGGAAAATTCAAGGTGGCTAAGAAGAGATAAATATCATCTGGCCAACGAGAAGTAGATTTGTCTCACTAACGATAATTTGTGAGCGCCAGAAGTGCTATTGCATTGTAAGATGTTTTCCTGAATGAAATGATACGGGATACATTCATTGGCGCTATGGATTTGGACGCCATTTATTGGACTATTAAGTTTAATATCTTGACTCGTGGGTACCTAAACATTTAGTATTTTACTATTAATTTAATGCAAATGTATACATACCCAAAATATTAAGAAAAAATAAATATATTCAATAAAAATCTTTGTTTTAATGAATGTACAATGTCGCAGCTCGGTAAATACGTCAACACTGAAATGAAAATCAGTCTAGCATAGGGAAAATCAGGGAATTACACCTTGAAACGGCGAATTGCGCAGCGGCGTTATTGTGAATTGGCGTAAATTGAACCAGCGTAAACTGAGGGCTACCTGTATATCAAATTAAGCTGAATAAGAAAAAGTAATAAAATACTAAAATCAAAACTAAACTGATAACTTAAAATCAATTTCACTGAAACTGTTATGTATTTTGTCATTTTTAAACATGGAATATGAAAGAAAAATTAAGCTTGTTTTCTTTGCTGTTTAATTTTTTCACCAGTAATGAAACACTACGAGCCAAACAAATTTTATAAGATAAAACATTTTTTGAGACTAAGTCTGCCTCATCATCAGATCTTAATGTTAATCAAACAAAAAACAATAGTTTTAAACTTAAGATTCCAGATTCAAACTTTCATCCATAGTCAGTGACTTTGAACTGTCAGTTACTCATAGACTTTGAAATCTTTTAAAAGTGGAGATAGTGCTTTACAATTTAAAATATAACACAGAAGACAAGCAACTAAAAAAAATTTAATGTAGATGATACATGACTATATAAATGCAACTTTAACAAAAAAATGATTTGCTATGGTAGCCCTAAATATCTAAAAAAATTCATTTTTAAACGTTTAGTGCTACGATGAATCTTAATATACTATGAATCTAATTTCAGTATTTGAGATATTCATCTAAATATGACGCTGATGATAGGATTGAAATTCTGGGATTTAATCAGAAACCTTGCATTTTTTGTTGAATTTAAATCCAGGGATTTAAGTTCTCTTATCAACATTGAATTCAGATGGACATCTTAAATACTAGAATCAGATTTATTGTCATGTTTATTTTTTACACATTTAGCTATTGCGCATGAACATTTTTTGTTAAGTAATGTTTTATTGTCATGTGTTTATATTATGAATTATCTGTTTTTAAAAGATTTTCAATATTATATGCTTTGCATGGAAATTCAAATATGTTACTGTTTGATGTGTAATAAGGCAAAAAACAATAATTTTTAATGTCTTAACCTTGCTTATTGTCAAATATTCTTGGAAAAATGTTTTATCTTAGGAAACTTGTTTGTCTCTTGCCACATAGCATTTCATTATAGTTGCTTACAGATGGAATTGTGTGAGAGAAGCAGTATTTGATTTTAAATTTTTCCATATTTAATCATTGTTGAAAAAAACTGATATTAAATCATGTAATTGCATTTAAAACACTTTTTCAATTTACTCTTTAATTTTAATTAAATTGTAAATTATTCTTGCATTGAATTTTGAATTTTGATTGTTTATTAATTGAAATTATTTTGTAGAATTGTTTAACAGGGCTGAATTTTGCGGATGAAAATGAAGCAGAATTTTTTAGACAGACTGTTACAACAAAACTAAGGCAATGGCAACAGAAACAAGGTGACTTAAATTATTTTCAATTTAATAATTAAGAACAATTAATAATTCTGTTTGAATAATGTTAAATGACAAATTGTGTACTAATTCTTGTAGTACTTGTGTATTTTTTCAACAGCTTCTTAGTATATGTATAAAATTGTTTGTTTATGCTGATTTTTGTGCATTTAAGTTGTTATAAAATTAATACTATACTTAATTTTTAATAAATAGTGTGCTTTCTAACTATTTTCATCTTGTAATCGTGCTATTTATTAGAGGTTGCTTACTATTAGAATAAATATTGTATATTAATATTAATAATATATGAATTGCATGATGAATTCTTCTGTAGACAAAATGAAATATGTAGAATAAATCATTGCAACTAGTTTAAAAGTACTTTCTTTTCATTTTTATTAATTATTAATTTTTTAAATGTTTGAATAATATTTTTATTCCAATTTTTAGACTATATAGTAATCTTAAATATCATTCATTTAAGTATTTAAATAGAGGTTGTGTTTTTGTTATGTTTTCATTAAAACTAATAAATTAATAAATGGTGATTTATTTGAAGAATTAAAGTTTTATGATAATTAACTGAATAATTTAAACAGCATTATATTTTGATATAAGATATGTTTTCTAAGTTTAAATTAATATTTTATGAAGTCAGAACATTAGCAAAGCCTCTTCTATGTGGCTTACAGAATTGCATTCATTCTCAAAATCTGTTTGATTAGTTTTGATTAAACTTTGCCATTTTTCATTAATTGAGATGAGGAATTAAAAAATGTAATAAAAATGGGGGTCCATGACTTTGTTTTCAAGATATAAGGTCTTAGCATGAGCACATGCAACAAAGCAATATCACACAAATTGATGACAGTCATGCAATGTTTCACAGTTGCTAACATGCCTTCTGTGGGCTTATAGAATTGATTTTGCCATTTTTCATTAATTCTGATGAGGAATCCAGAAATGTAATGAGAGCCCATTTAAATGTAAAAAATGGGAGTCATGATTTTATTTTTGATGTACAGCGGTGTCAAAGTGACAGTGTCCATACTCTCTGATGCAACTGACTTGTGAACATGCCTAACAGAATTTAGGCCTGGGATCAAAAATGAAAACAGCATTGCATACACCTAATGGAAAATAGGTGTGAAAAACAAAAGAAACACAAGAATAAAGCAATTGAGGCAATTGCTTTATTCTTGGCAACTCTCCATATCAGCAAGTGCAAGGATCAGGTCCTCCATGGCCGGCACATACAAGGATAACCTCTTTTTTGGTGGCAAATGCAAAGTTCACCTGTCCAGTCTGTCAGATACAAGGATTGCATCTTCCGTGCTTAACAGGTTCAGGGATTGCTTCTTTCTTTCTGGCTCCTCCTCATTTCTATCGCAATACAACAAAGTCGTACAATGTCCCTATAAAATAATCAATAATTTTTAAATGATAAACAATAATCTTTATAAAATAGATGAAATAATATGTTATTCTATATCAGTGTTTTTCAACCTTTTTGAATACGCGACCCCTTTACAAGTTAAAAAATTCTGGCGACCCCCAAGGCCATATTAAAACTATATCAGTGATTTTAAAAATTATGTATTTAATTTTCTTTCTGTTGAGAGAAATTATTGTTGACTAAAATAAGAATTTAAGCAGAATCGACAATAACTTATGACACGTATAGTATGATACTTCCTTTTCATAATAACATTGGGTTCCGAGTGATGTTGACTTTTTTTTTTTTTTTTTTTGAGTTGAGAGTTTTCAACTTCTACTTTTCTACTTCTTACTTCCTTTTACAAGTCAGCTCAGCACTTTTTCGGCTATCATTTTCTGGGGTGGGCCGTACCCACCCAGGCCCCTCCATGGCGACACCCATCATTCAGACCTAAATGTCAATCAAAAAACCAACTGTACTGTATAATAAACAGGTACAGCCTTCTCGCTGAAATTGTAGTTTTTTAATGTAGTGTAGGACCTACAAACACTTGTCTTTTTCTTTTACCCGCGACCCCCCCGTGTAAGGCTTTGCGACCCCCAGGGGGGTCGCAACCCACAGGTTGAAAAACACTGTTCTATATGATTATGATGCAAAATAATAATCAAAAGTTTTTCCTTTTTAAAATTGTCAGTTGCTTTCAGTAATAATGACAAAGAAGATGAATTCACTGAGTTCCATTTAAAAACATGATTTATATAGTATGCTAATATAAAGGCAAGATGCAATGGATCTTGTCTCTAAACTACCTTTAGATCAAATAATTTTTTAATTCTTTAAGCAGTGGCTTGCAGGCTTTATGAGCTAGTTGCAGGTTCACAATTTTTGATAGCCCACCAGCAATCCAGTATTGCATCAAATATACTCTTATATATATAAACAAAGAATGATGATTATAATCTGTATTCATTTATATAAAAAGTATATTAAAAAGCAGAGAAACAATTAGCATTTTAAAATTATTTTTTGAAATTTTTTTTACCACTATAAAAATTTGCATCTTTTGAAGATTACTGCCTTAAGGAATGTACTGAAAACCATAAGATTATTTTGTTAATGAAAAATAACTGAAATTAAAGAGGTTTAGATTATTAAGTTTGGGTTAAAGGTTTGTGTTTTCAGATTTTAAACTTTACTATTGAATATTTACATTTAATTAATTAATTTATTTATTTATCTAAGCATACTGGTACAAACCATGATGCGGGGAGAAGAATAAAAAACAAAACAAATATATAAAATTATACAACACATCCGACAAATATATACAACAACATCAATAAAATAATAATCAAACAAACAAAAATATTAAATACATTCTAAACTTAAATTTACATTTACATGGGAGAACTATTCAAAAAAATAACAAAATAAATTGATAACCAACAAACTAGGTTAAACCTTACCTAGAAAATAATAAATCAACAATTAAATCGCTTGTTCACAAAATCGGATAGTCTTCCAAGTATTTAGAACAACTGCTGGTTAAATAACAGAGAGACCACGTCGTGGGCACAATTTACATAAAATTATTAACAGTATTTTACTATAAACCTAAAAAAAGGAAAAGAAAATCAAAATTATCATAAAAATGAATACCTTAAAAAACAAATCAAAATCAGATATTACTTTTTTAGTCATCAAACAAAAAACACCAGAATATATATATTAGTTTTGAAGCTGACATAAAAAAATGTTCCAATTAATCAAAAGAATTTTGAGAATTTAAAAGTTTTGAATTTTAAGTAATAATTTTTAAAAATTGTCTAAAAAGTGATTAAATTGTTAAATTCTAATCTAAAAAATTTTTATTGCCTATTTTGAAACTGTGTTTTTTTTATTTATTTTTTTGTGTCACAAACAATTGCATTGATAGACATTGGGCATTTTATTTATTGGGCATTTTGGCCTCACTCTTTATTCTGTAATATCTTGTGGGCCCACAAGATGCTACAGAATAAAGAGTGATGCCAAAATGTCCAGAGTCTATCAATGCACTTAGTTGTGACACAAAAAAACTAAAAAATTTTATTATACATTTTTTCTGTTTTATTAATAATTTTAATTGGTTGGTTAAATTTTATTATTATTGTACATATTAAATAAATTTTGTTTTTTGTTTAGAAAGAAAACATGCACATCAGTCATTACAGCCTTCACAAAGAAGTGTTGCTGCTTCATGTATGTATATTTAAACATAACTAACTTAAAAATTAATTTTAAAGATTTGGCTTTTATAATGTATTTTAAAATATAAATCATATGTATAAATATATAGATAAGATATATATATATATATATTTATATATATATACAAAATAAATGNTTGGAACAATAAGGCAATAAATATAAATTACTCAATGTACATTGATACATAGCCAAATGATTGCCTTAAATACTCTGGCTATAAATCTGCTAATTCTAATATTTAATACTAAGTAATTTGCTACTGTAGGTAGACGTTAGGTGCCATCTCTTATCTAAATTAATATTTATAAATTAATTTAAATAAAATATTAAATGTTGTTATTATATGACATCTACCTCTACTAGCAAATTACTTTTGTATTAATTATTAAAATTGGCAGATTTATAACGTTAGTATTTAAGGCAATCATTTGGCTATGTATTATACAGGGTGGGCCAATGAAAACGAAGCGGCAGAGATATCGCATTCATCCAAACAAATCGCTCGGACAGGTTGATTTTATTCTCAAGGGGGACATCTTCAGCAATAAAGTTTTTGCGATTCTGAATACAACAGACAACAAAAAATTTTAAAAACTCATTCATTTTTTATTAACTTAACAAACATTTATTTCAAATAAAGTAACAAAAACTTTCAGAATCGTAAAAACATCCAGAATTCAGAATCGCAAAAACTTAATTGATGAAGATGTCCCCCTTGAGAATAAAATCAACCTGTCCGAGCGATTTGCTTGGACGAACGCGATAACTCTGCCGTTTCGTTTTCGTTGGCCCACCCTGTATATATATATATGTATATACATATATATAAAAGGTTTCGAGTTGTGGTGGTTCAATGTACATTATAAAAATATTTTATTCATACTTTACATTATGACAACAATTTAATGCATTTCATTACTTATACAAGTTCATTATTAATACATATTTTTAAAACACATTTGATTTAATGGACTTTCAGCAACAGCAGACACCCCTTTCCTCAATTAGTCCATTCAGAGGTTTACTGTATTTAGTTTATTGATGTTAATTTATAGGAAAAGTTTTGTTTTTATCTTTTAAATTAAATGATGTAAATTACTTGGTAATAAAGATAAACATTAAAAATTAATTTTAATTATCTTCATTACCAGAACTTCATAATAGGCCAGTCTGTAAATAAAATTATAAGGATTTATTGCTGTTCTCTGGTTCTTTGATTTGTAATGGCTGAATAAATTTGAGAAATTTTTATATATATTCAAAAAATAATTTGTGGATTGTAAAAAATTGTTTTTTATATCTAGCTTTATTTTGAATTTAATTAAAAATTAAATTCTAACTTTTTACTATCTTAACTGTAGAAGAATTATAACATCTATATAAAGTGTGCTAATTTACTTATAAAAAAAATTAATCTTCAGAGTAAAACTGGGATCACACAGAGAAATACCATTGAAAACACAAACTTAAAGCCAAAACCAGAAAAATTTTTTGTCTGTCACACACAAAATTTCTAGAAAATCAAGTCAAGAGGTACTTAGTGGAATTTTTTTCTGGTTGTGTAAAATGTAGATGTTGACCAGTCAGATTCCTGGGAGTGATGATATGTTTACAACATCACTGATGTTGCTGTTGTGCTGCCCGAGGCTGAAAACAAGAAACTGCATGAGCTTTTATTCAAATTTACATTGAAATATTCTGTGCAAAAAAAATATTAGAGCTGAAATAAAAGACACTTTACAACACTAGGCCTTAAAAAGCACACTAGAATAGAAAACTTTACTTACTCGTAGTAATACTGCTGATCATGCAGATGAAATTCTGTTCCAGGAAGCACTCACAAAATTTATAGGCACTGACCCTACACAATGGCCATGCATTTCCAAATTCAACACTTCTAAACTAGCAGGGAAAACACAACGCTATGAACACTTACATATTACCAGATTGCACTTTTTCTGTTTCTACACAGGACACACCTAATATGCATTGTGTTGAAATTAAGGCACAATACCAAAAGCGCACAATAGGACACCACCTGGTGTAGACAACATTCACAATTTCTGGTAGAAAAATACATCCTTGCACCAGGAACTAGCTAAATGTTTAATTCATATCATTAACAATCTACAAGATGTGTCAAATTTTCTCATGCAGGTCATCACCTACATGAAAACAATAACACCAAAGACCTTGCACAGTACAGACCAATTAAACCTGGTACTCACATGTGGAAATGGATGATAGAAACAGTTGCTGTTCTGTCGTCTTTCCATGTTGCGTGTACTCACATGCGGAAAGTACCCTAAAATTGAAATGAGTGCCATCTGCCAGCTGTAAATGTACACAGCTACTATAGTAGGTAGGTCCTAATAGAAAGATGCCTAAGGTAGACACATGCCAGTAGTCTAAAATGGCACCCACCGGAATTGCTTTCTTATATCAATTAAACTTTCTAAGTTTGCCTACAACCTTATAGCAAATCAAAAAGCTCAAAAAAGAAGAATTTGGATAGGAAAAATATTCTAAATTGTTGAAAGTTAGGAATATCAAATATTATCGTAACTGAATTACGATTACGCCATTTCAAATACTTTATGCAGTAATTATGTCTATTCAATGTTAATATTAAAATTGGAGAGTAATATAGCGTATAAATGAAATATACAAGGGTATTAGTATATAAATAAAGCTTTTTAGCCATGCTGACTGCCATAGTTTCCACGTGATGTTTATGATGACATTGCCAAATGGCCTTCCTATTGGTCTAATTTTTACTGTTCCGCTTTCTACCATGGCAAAAGTTGAAAATTTTCAACTTCATATTTCATCAGCTTCGATGGCAAAAGTGACGTCATTTTCCTTTCTGTCATCCGTTGCCACATGTGAGTACCAGGTTTTACATGTCTTCAAACACTTCAGAAGATTCTTACCTCTTGCGTCGCAAATAAAATATACAATTATATTGATGAATACAACATTCATACAGAACAACAAAAAAGGCTGCTGTAGAAACCACAAAAGTTACAAAGAACAACTACTCGTTGACTCTGCCATCCTACAGCAGGAGCAGCTCTTTGCATACACATTTGCAGCTCTTTGCATACACATTTGCAGCTCTTCGGACATAAACTACAATTTCACCTCATCTCAAGCAGCCTAATAACATGAGTTTATGAGAGAGAGCTGCCGAACAAACTTCGACTTGTATGGCATACTCTCTAGCACTCTTTAGCCTGTCCACACATGACCACACTTGCGTTGATCAATATGAGTCACATATGAGTGGTAGCATTTGAAGCATATCTATATATATATATATATAACCCATTGAACATGTGTCCGTCTGTTTGTGTAACATTATGCCAAAAATGTCCACTAGAGGCACCCCTGTTGTGTGTTGTATTTCACACATTTAAATTAACAATATAAATTATTATTTACATTAACAGTATAAATTATTATTATTTATTTGGCCAATAGCCAAATTCACCTAATAACTAGGCAAATTTGGCTATTGAGAGCTGCATATATGCATATATGTAATATATATATGTATATTACATATATGCAGCTCTCTGGTACTTTTGTTATCCTGTTTCCATGACAATTTGGCTCTTCTTACTTGACAAACTGCCAACCCCTGTCCTATGGCAAGTTCATAAGCAACACAGAAATATACGTATGGCATACATTGATTACAGAAAAGCATTCAACAATGTCCCACACACTTGGCAGCAGCCAATTCATCCCCAATGCATACTCAAGTGATATACAAATGGGGTTTGGTCTAGACCTGCCATGTCCAGCCTGCGGGCCACACATGGCCCACTCAATGTTTTTGAGCGGCCCTTTTAAAATGGTAATTATTCTTGTGATATTTCATTGTAATAAAAATCTATACATGTATAGTTAAATACATTAATATGATGTATAACATCTTATCACGTACACTCAGAAATTAAAACTAGAGATGCCACGAATATTTGGCTACTATTCAGTATTTGGCCTATTCAGCTACTTTTTTTAATATTCAGTATTTGGCCGAACATTGCATACTATTTGGTCAAATACCGAATACTAAATCATGAAAAAAAAAACACATATATTACTCAAAAACATATTTATTTTAATCATAAATTATTACATTTAATACTTAAAATCTATCAGTGGTAAGTTGTGATGAATGAAAACAATTTTTTCAGCATTTGTCGATATCAAATGATTGTGCTTTTCCTCATAAACTATATCTGCTTCTGAAAATAGCCTCTCACTATATACACTACTGCCGGGAGACGATAGATAAATCTTAGCGAATTCTGTCAGGCTTGGATACTGTTTTGTGTTTGATGACCACCACTTGTAAAGGTCTGCCGTTCGATCGATCTAGGCAAACAGTTTTCATATAAAGTGATTCAAACAGTGATATCTTTTAGTAATAAAGACTATTACTAACACAATTTGATGTAACAATGAACAAATAATGCATGTCATGACACGATCTACTCGCAAATAAAACAAATGCGCCCGCTGTGTTGCTACCGCACCCACCGCAATGAGACAGGTCGTAACCTGTCGCCCACAAAATGTACAGATATTTTGCCAAACATTTGGCCACCGAATATTCGGCACTTCAGCTTGAGAGCGTAGCCGAATATTCGGTATTTGGTATTCAGCAAAATTACTATTCGTGGCATCACTAATTAAAACAGTTATTAAATATTATTTAACAAAGCTTAAAATGTATGAATGAAAATGACCAGAATGTTCCTGAATTATATGAGGGACAGTGACTTTTGGATTTATGTTTCCTTACAAATATCACAATGAAATTAAGTGAACATAATAAATAGCTTTAAAGTGGAAACAAATTGATCACAGACTGTTATCAAAATATAGAAAAACTCAAACTTTATGAAAGTCAGTTAAAATCAAAAACTACAATCCATTTTCCAAAATTACATAAATTTAATAGTGACAAAAAACATTTT